GAAAAATCCTTGGAAAGTTAAGAGAACAGACTCATGAAACAAGAACAGAAATACTATATATACAAAAAGAAGCATGGCCAGGTGCGGTGGCTCATGCCTGTAATCCCAGTCTTTGGGAGGCCGAGACAGGTGGATCACCTGAGGTCAGGAGTTCAAAACCAGCCTGACCAACATGGCGAAACCCCATTTCTACTAAAAATACAAAAAAATTAGCCAGGCGTGGTGATGCATGCCCGTAATCCCAGCTCGTGCAGGGCGCACAGGAGGCTGAGGCAGGAGAACTGCTTGAATCGGGGAGGTGGAGGTTGCAATGAGCCAAGATCACACCATTACACTCCAGCCTGGGCGACAGAGTAAGACTCCATCTCAAAAAAAAAAAAAAAAGCAACCAATGAACAAGACAGTTAAAATGTAAAATTTCAATAGAAAGGATAGAAAAATATAGTTAATAAAGTTGAAAGTGGATCTCATGAAAAGAGATGAGATTGGTGGTTACTGGAGGCCAGGAAGGGTGGAGGAAATAAAGACATGCTAATGAGTAGAAATGTACAGGTAGGTGGAAGAAATGGGATCCAGTGTTCTATAGAGCAGTAGGGTGACTGTAGTAAACAATAATCTATTGTACATTTCAAAATCACTAGAAGAGAATGATTCGAATGTTCCTGGCATAAAGAAAAGATAAATATTTAAGATGATGGATATCCCAATTACCCTGATTTGATCTTTACACATTATTTGAATGTATCAAAATATTACATGTACCCCCAAAAATGTACATCTATTATACATCAGTTGTTTTAAAGTTAATGAAATTGTCCAGAGAGTAGAATAAAAAGAGACAGACAAAAGGAGAAAAAAAGATAACAGCTATAATTCTGGGTCCAACATCCTCTAGTAAAGCCAGAGAAAATGGGATGAGGATATAGGTTGAGTTAGGGAGTGGTAGCAAACAGGTAATTTACATAGAAAAGAAAAATGCTCTCTATACAATTAAAAGAAAAGAACAAAAAGACTTATAAATAGCAATACTTGGAAGTTAGAAGATAGTGAGGGAATTAGCCAGGCACGGTGGCATATGTCTGTAATCCCAGCTACTTGGGAGGCTGAGGCACGATAATTGCTTGAACCAGGAGGTGGAAGTTGCAGTGAGCCAAGCTCATGCCACTGCTCTCCAGCCTGAGTGACAGAGTGAGACTTTGTCTCAAAAAAAAAATTCATTAAAAGGAAAAAAAGAAGAAGATAGTGAGGAAATGCCTTAAAAAATCTAAGGGAAAAATATTTCCAGCCTAGAGTTCTATACCTAGCTAAACTATCAGTCAATTATGAACAAAGAATTGAGATTTTCAGACAGATAGTGTCCCAAAGTTTACCTTCCATAGTCACTTTCTCTGGGAGCTATTAAATGATGCAGTTGACCAAAGTGAGGGAGTAAAACAAGAAACAGGAAGATCTAAGATCCAGGCAGTAGAAGCTGCAACACAGAAGAGCAAAAAGAGGTGGTATTGACACAGGGATTTTGTAGGACTAGTTTCCCAAGACACAGGTCACAAGACCCCACTAATAAAAAAGGATACAGCAGGCCAGGTGGTGGCTCACGCTTGTAATCCCAGCACTTTGGGAGGTCAAGGCAGGAAGATCACTTGAGATCTTCCTGGGACCAGCCTGGCCAACATGCTGAAATCCCATCTCTACTAAAAATGCAAAAATTAGCCAGGCATGGTGGTGGGAGCTTGTAATCCCAGCTACTCGGGAGGCTGAGGCAGGAGAATCGCTTGCACCTGGGAGGCAGAAGTTGCAGTGAGCCAAGATTGTGCCACTGCACTCCAGCCTGGGCAACAGAGCAAGACAGTCTCAAAAAAAAAAAAAAAAAAGAAAGAAAGAAAAGAAAAGAGAAGAGAAGAGAAGAGAAAGGAAAAGAAAAAAGAAAAGAAAAGAAGGACATACCTACCAACAAACAATCACCATTATGGCATGTGGCTTCTTATGTTTTTTCTCACTTCTTTCTTATCTCCTCTCCTGCTTTTGTCACTTGGGACCCCTTCATTCTTCAGGCTCCTCTTTCAGAAATTTTGCGCACTTCAGCCTGCACCTTCTTCCACAACCCTCAAAATCTACCCTTTATCCTGCTGCAATTATCCTCCATCTCATACACCCCATCATGTGTCAAACAAAATCCTTCTAGCCCATCCTCCATCCTTTTCTCAAACATTTCCCTATGAGCTCCCAGTCAGGTTTTCTCCCAATACCCAAGTTTCCTCTGTCAACACGTTACCAACACGTTCTCTTTCTCCTCCATATGTTCCCACTCCCTCTGAACCAGCCAGTCCTCTTTACTTCCTTTGATCCTGGCCTCCGCCTTCAGCCCCAGTAGCTTTTCTTCCTCACTTCCACTCTTTTTTATTTTAGGCTCAGACTCTCTCCATTCCTCTCTCAACTTTACCCCTTCAGTGTAAAGTTGCCTGGCTCTAATTTCTCCTCTGACTTCCAGTACTTCCCTTGTCTGCCTCTTTCCTTGTTTGGTGTCAGTCCTTCATCTGCCTCATTCACTGGTACCTTCACCTATAATATCTTTATTTTCCATAGAAACAGATTCATCAGTGATATCTTTCACTTCACGCAAGACGCCCCCGTCAACTCCCACTCCTTTCTCAGTCCCTTGTAGTTCCTCACTCCCTTTGACACTTTCAAAAGGAATTTCCATCTCATCATCAGTAAATGCCATCACTCTTTCATCACCAGTAACTTCTACCACTTTTTCAATGTTCTCCTCATTTATGCTCCCCATTCTTGAAACCTCCAATTTCTCCCCACTGGTCCCCAACTTCTCCTCGCTAGATCTCAGCTTCTCTGCACTTGACCCCAACTTCTCTCCACTCAACCTCAGCTTCTCTCTGCTTGATCTCAGCTTCTCTTCACTGGTTCCCAGCTTCTCTCTGCTTGATCTCAGCTTCTCTCCACTCAACCTCAGCTTCTCTCTGCTTGATCTCAGCTTCTCTTCACTGGTTCCCAGCTTCTCTCTGCTTGATCTCAGCTTCTTTCCACTCAACCTCAGCTTCTCATCACTGGTTCCCAGCTTCTCTCCACTCAACCTCAGCTTCTCTCTGCTTGATCTTAGCTTCTCTCCACTGGTTCCCCGCTTCTCTCCATTTGATCTCAGCATCTCTCCACTCAACTTCAGCTTCTCATCACTGGTTCCCAGCTTCTCTCCACTCCATCTTAGCTTCTCTCCACTTGATCTCAGCTTTCTGCCACTGGACCTCAGCTTCACTCCACTGGACCCCTGCGTCTCTCCCCCAGACACCAGCTTCTCACTACTAGACCTCAGCTTCTCTACACTTGATCTCATCTTGTCTACACTCGACCTCAACTCCTCATTCTGCCCCAGTTTATATCCACTGGATCTCAAGTCCTCTCCAGTGGTCCCTACCTTCTCCCTAGCAGATCTCAACCTCTCTTCAAACCCAGACCCCTTCATAGGCCCTGCTGTCATCCCTGCACTCTTAGATTTAGCCCTTATTTCGTGTTTGACCTCTTGCTTTCCCCAAATCTCCCTTGGGCTGTCTTTCCCCAAATCTACTGAAGCATGTGATGCACTTGCTCCACGGTGCAGCAGCTTCACATCCGTCCCTTCCTGACTCGGGCCTGACTTCCCTTTCAAGACCGTCTTTTCCACATCTTCCAGTCTCCAGTACTCAGACTCCAGCTTCGGTTTTTGAGTGTTTCTACTCAGAAGCTCCACTCTTTTCCCAATCACCATAAGCTCGTTCCAAGGTTTCCAGGTTTTCTCTCGCAGCAACGGCACCCCCTCGCAGCCCCGCTCCATTGGCGACCGTCCGTGGACCGCGGCCCCGCTTGGGGCGCCCTGGCCGCGGGCCTTGTGGAGCCCCCTAGTCCTCCTAGGCTGCTTACCCCACCGCTCCCTCCCGCCCACGGGCGGAAACCTTAACAGACCCCCCTTCTCCACAGACACTGTCCCCTGCCCTCGCCCCTGGTCTACCACCCACATCCCCACCACTGCTCCCCATTTCCCGTCCCCACCCTGCCACCCTCACCCTCTTCCCCTTCCCCTTCCCCACTGCCTGGTGGGCGCCAAACTGGGCGAGTGCGCACGCGCAGGCCGCACGTGGCCGTTGGAAGGAGGGGCCCGGAACGGCGGCACAGGGTTGTGGGGGGTTCAGTCCGCCGGGGACTGGAGGGAGACGCGGCACGCGGCCTCTGCGACCCTATGAGCTCTGACCCCAGCTCCCACACTGTAGCCTATCACCAGACCACGCTCCGTGCCGCGTGCCCCTTAAAAGCTGGGGCCTGGGACAAGAACGACAGACATTGCAGCCAGTGGTGTCACGCACGGTGCCCCGGTACCCAATCGAAAGGCGCGGCTGAGGGAAAGGCGGTGGGAACCGCCCCCGACTCCAGGCGACTCCTTGGCCGGGCGGGGGAGAGCGTCCTCGTCAGCTGAGAGCACACTCACTCGGTCGGTTACGGGGACGACCTGCGGGAGCACGCGGGCAGTGGCCGGACGCTGAAGCCGTGTGTGCTGCAGCCCAGGAGAGCGATGGAGACGCATGCGGAGGCTGGGAAGGAGGGCAAGGTAGAGAAAGGATGAAGAACACCCCCACCCCCAGCCTCCCCTCTCTCCATGAGAACCCGTGATGCCCAATCATGCGGTGGTGTGTGTATGTCTGTGTGTGTGGTTGGCTGTCTCTGTGTGTTTGTGTGTGTGTGTGTATAGTCTGCATGTGTGTGTCTCTGTGTGTCTGTGTGTATGTCGATGTGTCTGCATATGTCTGTGTGTGTCTGTGTGTATCTGTGTATGTCTTTGTGTCTGTGTGTCTCTTTGTGTGTCTGTGTGTCTGCGTGTCTGTGTTTGTATGGCCTACGTGTGTCTGTGTGTGTGCGCGCATGTCTGTCTGTCTGTCTCTGTGTGTGTCTGTGCATGTCTGTGTGTGTGTGTCTGCGTGTACTTGTCTGTGTGTGTCTGTGTATGGTATGCGTGTGTCTTTGTGTCTCTGTGTGTCTGTGTGTATGGTCTGTGTGTGTGTGTAAGTGATGTGAATGCATGTGTCTGTGTGTGTCTGCGCATTTCTGTTCTCCTTTGTTGTCGTGAGTGTGTGTGTGATCTGTGTATTGTCCTGCCGTGCATCTTTATTCTGTGTTGTTGTGTCTCTGTGGTATTATCTCTGGTGGGGTGCTGGTGTGTGTTGTGTGTAAATTCTTTTAACTGGACTCTGTGTGTGTGGTTTGCATGGTGTCTGTGGGTGGGTCCTCTGTGTGTCTGTGGTGTCCTATGGGTCTGTGGTTGTCTGTGGGTTGGTGTGTGGTCTGGTGGGGTTAATCTGTGGGGGTGTGTTTCTATATGTCCTGGGTGTGCTTGGCCTGTTGTGGTTGGTTCTCCGGCGTGTCTGCGTAGGGTGTGTGTGTCCCATGGTGTCATCTGTGTGTATGCTGTCTGTCTGCAAGTGAGAGAAAGGAAACTTGAACAAGGGAGTGGGTAAGCGCTCTGTGGCCACCTGTCGGGGTGGGGACGTGATGAGGAATGCCAAGGGAGGTGGGGTTTTGCCTTTGTCCTGACAATGGAAAGGGACCGTCACTGCACCTCTTAAATCCCCTCCCCAGGACCAATCACATGCTGGCTGTGATGGGGGTAAGGGGTGGGAGGTGGGGGCGGGGAGAAGGGCAGGATGTTAGGGAATTGAGCAGAGGCCTGGCACCTCTCATCCTTTCCCCAAGCAGAGAATCCTGTCAGTCCTAATGGCTTCATTGCGTGTCTGAGATCATATAATCACTAAACTATTCTCCTTTGACTTCATTCAGCAAGAGTTGAGTATCCACGTTGTTCCCAAGGAATGGTTAGAGCACTGGAGAGGCGCACCCTTTTGGGAGATGGAGGCAAATATGCATCCAGTGGGCCATGGCTAAGGATGAGGATGGAGCAGCTGTGGGTCCACCTTTGAGGCCCCATCCTCCCTCCCAAGCAGCTATCAAGGCAGTGTAGGTCAGAGCAGAAATACTAAGGCAGCAGGAAGGATGGCTGGGACAGGGAAAAGGGGAACCTTGCTGCACCAGTTAGCCAGAACGCCGGTGTTTGGTTCTGGCAAGGGGAGAGGCCTGCTTTGGAGAGTGTCAGGAAGCAAGAAATCGGAGGAGCGAGATTCAAAGTGGTTTTGAGGGACAAAGAGGGCTGAGAGACCACAAAGCATGGAACAGTAATGGTCTCTTCAGATGTTTATCTATGTTCATCTTCATGGTTAAAGAGTCACATATATAAAATGCTAGGGCATATATATTGAATGTTAGAGTCGTGCCTAGCATGATTGTAAGGGCCAACTAAGTTTTAGCCATTATATTATTATTACTGCTTATGATTATTAATTGCTGTTGTTCTGCAGGATTGCCTGAGCTATTGAACAGTATGGATGCCACCCCCCAGCCCTTTGTGCAGGAGCCATACTCTCCTGAAAGTTCACTACCAATACTTTATCCTCTAGGTAGGTATTGCCTCTCTAAATCTTCCTTAATATGCATTAAGAAGAGATATATAAACAAAAAATATAATAGAGAAATGAATAATATAAAATAACTAGCCAAGCATGGTGCTCAAGCCTGGTAATTGCAAGTCACTACTGGGAGGAGCCCAAAGCAGGCAAATCAACTTGCGGTCAGGATTGTGAGGACTGAGCCTGGCCAACATGGGTGAACCCCATCTTAACTAACAAATCCAGAAAAATTGGCTCAGACAGAGTGGTGTGCGCCTGTATTGCACAATTGCTTGGGAGTCTGAATCGGGAGAATCACTTGACCCGGGAGGCAAGGAGAGTTGCAGTGGAAAGAGAATCGACGCCAATTGGACTCCAGCCTGGCAACAGATCCGAATCTGTCTCAAGAAAGTAAAAAACCCAAAGGATTTACGAATAGATTCTAGCTATAAGATACATGCATCACGTATGTTTTGTTGCAACACTATTGTACAACAGGAAGGACTTGAACCAACCCAAATGCTCCATCAGTGATAGACTGATAAAAAAATGTGGGCGACATATAACACCATGGAATATGTATGTAGGGACATAAAAAAGAATGATAGTCATGTCCTTTCCCAGGGACGTAGATGGAAATGGAAGCCATCATTCGCAGCACACTAATACAGGAACAGAAGAACCAAAATACC